TGATGCTAAGGAGATTGAGTTTGACCCTCCTGAGACTCCTAATCTGATCACTGCTCCCATGCCAAATCATGACTAAGATTGAGAGCGTCCAGTTCATTTGAATTTTTAGTTATAATTTCTTTTGTTTGTTCGAACACTTATCTTTATGTAAAATTTTGTTTTTTTTTTCATTAATGCATTGCATATGTTTGTCTTGAATTATCCCATTCGTTTTCACTATACTTTAACTGTGCTTTTTACTTCCTTTTTGTGATATTCAACTCTCGTTAAAAGCTATAAGCCTTTAGAGGAAGGATGACGAAAATGATACCATAATCTCATACAGTATGCTTTTGAATAGACCTTGTTGATGATGTACAGGCGTTGCTTCAATTCTTAAACAGTGGAGATATAAGGAAGTTAATCCCTAGTCTACCTCTTTGAGCCTAAGAAGTAGGAGTTTTCTTTTTCATACAAATTGAAACCCTTAATCATAACCTGGGGCAGGGTAGTTACTTAGTTAATTCAATTGTGCATTCAACCGTAATATTTTCCTTCGTACACATTAGGTAGTATCATAGACATCCTTCCAAATCAAAATTAGGTGATGGTTCCTCGTAATCATTAAGTCGGGCAGTCATTATCTTTCAAAAGAAAAGTCTGCTAAGTCAAAACCTATAAAGGAGACTTAGGGAAAAAAACTGGGGCATCCCGCTTACTGTAATCTCAAACAAAACAGTTCATGCAAAAGTTAGGGATAATAAAGTCAAAAAGAGGTTGTTACAAATCCTCAACAAAAGAAATATGTTACAAGAAAAAATGATTGTCTTCTCAAATAAACTTTCGGTTTCTTAACCATCACCAAGTATTAGTGCTATAATTCCAAACTCTATTAGAACCTAAATGCATAATTAACTGAGTATAGGACTAAAGGAAATTATGGAGAACCGTTGGGTACAAATAAACTTTGATCCTTCACCCTTTGTTTCTTAAACCGTGAACCAGGCCACGTTACAACCTTTTAAAGTCCTAACTGAAGCATGAGTTAGTTCAAAAACATACTGTTACAAAAAGGTATCCTGACTCTTATAAGGCTTACTATAAATCCCGAGTTGATATCACATTCTTACAAATTGTTTTATTAAAAATGATTTTTTTTTAAACTTCAAGACGGACATAAGCTTTGCATTTTAATACCATTGTTTGCATATGACTAAGTGTTTGACAGCAGAGAAATTTGCATGACGAATATTCAATGAATGAAAATCCTCCCAATGGACAAAATTACTTCAGAGGATGGGTCAAAGAGAAATACACTTCCAGTAACAGGCATTTCATGGACACAATTGGTTATAAATCAAGGGACATGACATGTTATTGTCTAACTTATCTGTGGCAGTCAAGTCAAGATTCAAAGAATCTCTCAAAAGTGTTGAATAGCCAGGGGTAAATCTCCATCTAAATTACTTGTGGAATGTTACATTGATCATGAGTTTCAACAAAAGCCACTATGAAAATTGAATCTTCGGTATCACCGAATTGCTCATCTACGTCAGCAATATCAGATGGTGTCATTATGTCGTGACAGTTTTACTGAGGAAGGTCAAGACTATAAGGAAGTTGGAAATCAATGGTTGATAAATAACTTCAAACATCGGGTGCACCAAACTATCCTATGGGCAAATGGACTCCCGCATACAAAGGGCCACGTATGATCAAGAAAATATTTTATGGCAGTGCTACAACACATACTACCATGGACAATGAAAATTCTCCACACCCTACTATAATACGGTGGGAGAACTGACTTGGTTGTTTTGTGTTTTATTGTAATTGTTGCGGATAGCAAGAGTCACCGTCGACTTTTCTTTTATCCAATAAAGGAAATGGTGAAAAGAATAGGAAAGACCTTTGATATGTTTTCTTGAGTTCGGGGGGTAGGTTATGAAAAGGGAAGGTATTAGCACCCTTATCATCCGTAGTTATCTACGGGCTCTTAGTTGCTTGCTAGATCACTTGCTTTGTTTGAAAATACTTTTTCGTGATGGGTGTAAGTTTGAAAATATTTTGAAAATGCCTTTATTGCGGCAAACTTTGTAATGGTTCTCGTATGCATACAAAGTGTTGGTTTTGAAAATAGTTCAAAGAGATGTTTATTTTTGAAGATGTTTTTGAAAGTGTAAGTGTGGAAAATGGTTTTAATTCAAGAACAAGCAACTATGACCGTCCTACATACTCAAAAGGTTTATGTTCTTTTCCTCTTCCTTTAGATGTTGCTACCTTACCATTGATTTGGTAAGAATCCCCGTCGTTGGATGTGAAGGGACGGGCGAGGCTCAATTGTATAGTCATAGAAGGCAACCTATGAGACGTTTTAGCAATTTTCATTAGGGACTAGATCGTTTACCAAAGACAACATCGAGGGACATCGAGGGACTATGATCTTTTATCGAGGGTCTTTTCTAAAATTCCCATATTCGAGGGATATGACTATTTTCCGAGGAAACAAGTGAGATTACCTTAGAGGTGCACGTGTGAATAGTGTGTTTGATTGCATGCATTTTTATCTTGAATTTAGGGTTGTCTACTTATTGATTTTATCTTGCCATACACACCCTAAGTTACTAGCATTTATATGAAAGCGGTAAATTGCTGAAAGTAAATTTACTATGCTATTACGTCACTTGGGGAATGGGGTGTACAGATTTACAAATGGGGATTGCAAGAAATTGAGTCCTAATTATCTATTACAACCATATTGAAACTTGAATAATGTATAAGGAATATAATGTACAAGATGAAGCTACCGGTAGAAAACACAGAGCCGCCACCAAAATTTATTTATCCCGAAGGAAGGGGAAATATCGATAAAACCACAAGGGAATGGATAAGATGGTCTTGCGACCAAGAGAAAGGGTAAGGGAGTCGGTTATGCGAGGGGAAGGTATTAGCACCCCTTGCATCCGTTGTACTCAACGGGATCCATTTTGTTTGTTTGTCTTAAAGGGTGTATTTATCTACAACTATGCTTGCTTAAGGGGAAATGAAAGGGTTTTTTTATTATTGCGTTCGTGAGGGTTTCGCGACCCTTTGTCTACGTATCCAATGAAGGAATCAGAACACCGTAGTTCCTCTAGAAAAAGGTTTGTTTGTTTGTGTTTTTTTAGTGGATGACGTTAACGCACACATTCTAGCAATAGGCGCGGCCGGTATCGCGGTAGAACGGAGATAACATACCCTTGGGGAAGTTTTGCTTGATTGAGTGTTTTTTGCGAGTTTTAAAATAAATTCAAGTAATGATTAAATGTTTTTGGATTTTTGATTTGTGAATGATAAGTTTTAATTACAAAAGAAAAAGTTTGAGGGGGAGACTAGAAGAACCCTAATGTTGTCATGCAATTGAAGGGGTAAAAGTCTACCTCAACATCAGACGATCGAAGCGGGATTTAATCGCTTCATGGAGTTACCTAAGGAAATATGGTATCAAGATTTGAACAAGCAAACAAATAAAGAAATTTAAATTCTAAATATTTTTTATGGATTTTATCAAGTAATAATTATAATGTATATTTCTTTTGTGTTTTTTTAAGGAAATAATTAAACTAAATTTAAAACAAACTGTAACAATTAAACAAAATATAAAGTTAAAAGAGAAATAAGAAAGATGGGAAAAAGGGGGAAAATGGTCCATGCGGGTATTGAACCCGTGACCACTAGTTTGCACACACAAGGTCATGACCGCTGCTCCATGTAATCTCATTCATCATTACTACCACTCAAAAATGATAAAAGGTTAAATATATGAATGGATTGGGCTAGGTTGGAACCGTGTTAGGTTAAAGGCCCAAAGAGATTAACATTGATGCAAACCCTAATTTCTCTGGGAGTGGCCACAGGTTACTGTATAGGGAAGAGGAACAGATTTGCAATTAAATTTTTGTCAATTAAATTTATTAAAACAAGAAGCCATCCACTTTTTCTTCTCAAATATCACGGTCTTTCTCTCTTTGGCTTCAACGATAATTAATAACTAACAACAAAACTTTCATCTTCTCATCAACAACGCACGGTCCCCTGTTTTTGTTTCTCAACCGTATAAACCTATCCTATATTCTTTGTTCCATGCACGAACAACAACACCAAAACCTATTTATTCTTCTTCTCCGGTCCCTCTTAATCATTTTACCTTAACGGAAAAAAACTTCTGCCTTTGTTCTCTCTTTCGATCTCCATTCAACTCTCTGTTGATTGAACACAACAACAGATTCTCTCAACCTCTCACTCGGTTTTCCCTCATATGTTCAATCTCTACGTTCTGTTCTTTGCCTTATCCTATTTTCCAAATATCCGCCTTATGATTCAAGCCCCCCCCCTTTATCTTAATCCACCATCGAAGTTCCTTCCCCCGATTCTTCCATGCATTGTCTCCTTAAATCCAAACAAAACCTTGAAAAACCTAGGAAGTTCGTACTGAAATTTAAACGCTAAGGGTACGGATTTGAATCTTGAAACATTAGGGGTATTACTCAGCTAGTAAAGACACACAACATGATCACAAGCTTGATGTAAAAGGTAAATAAATGAGGGAGATTTAGGCTTACCTACAGGAGGTAATTCCGGTGCTTTTCTGACTGCAATTATGAAGATAGTGGATAAACTTTAGATGCTCAGGTATATGTTTTTCGCTTTTGATTTTCTTCGGTCCTTCTTCTAATTTTGTGTTATTATTTATGTTGTTCTTTGTAGTAAGATTCTTGCAAGTTTTTATTTCAGATCCGGGTTGGTTGAATAGAGAGGAGGGAACCTACTAGTTTAAGGTTATCGATTGGAGTATTATGGTGATGGTTATGAGCTTGTATTTTTCTGTGATCTTTTTTCTATGAAATTTTTTCTGTGAAATTTTTGTATGTAGGGTGAATCTGGAGAGGGATTTTGAAGGTGATGAAAGAGTTGTTTAGGTTGAAGTTTTCTTATCAGGTTCTTGGTGTAATCGATCCCTTCTGACCGGTTTTGGGACAATAATGTGCAGGGCTGGTTTTGGAGGTTTTGACAGTTTTTCGGTTTTGGCTTCTGTTTTTTTTTTTGTTGACACAGTTTTGGTTTTGGCTGATGCAGCTTTGGTTTCTGTTTTGACTGATGTCGTTTTGGTTATTGTTTTGACTGATGCAGTTTTGGTTATGGTTTCTGTTTTTGGTTTGATGCAGTTTTTCTGTTTGTTGGTTTTGACTGATGCAGTTTATTCTTGGTCTGTTGAAGGTTTTTTTGTGGTTTTGTTTAAGGGGTTACTGAAGAGAATAGAGAGATATTTGCAATGTATTAAAGGTGACAGATGATTTTATGGTTTCGGTTATGAATGAACAGGGAGACTGCGGTTATGGTGTTTGCAGGGATTTGAGAGTTGTGAATTGAGCAGAGGTTTAGCAAGCTCTTTGAGGTGAATTTTTTCAATGATTTTTGTATGTTTGAGCAGAATTTTTAGGGGTGATTTTTTGTTGTATTCTCTCCCCCTGATTTTATGGTTATTTCTTCTTTATAATGAACACAAAGGGTGGAAATTAGAGGGAAGATGGATGATGCTTGAACAATGTTGGAAAGCTGACTTGTGGCTTTAGAATGCAGGTTTTGTTTTTGTCTATTTTGGTGTTTGTGTGCAGTTTTCTTGGACTGTTTTGGGCAGATTAAATGCAGGTTATATATTTCCTCTTTCTCTTTCAATGATGCCAAGCTATTGTGCTTTTTCTTTGAAAATTATGAAGGGTTTGCCTCTTTTGGAAAATGATGAAGCACCAGGGTGTTTTGGCTGTTTGTTAGCCTTTGACTTGTTGCTTGTTATTAGCCTGCTATGATGCCGTATGTTTGATACTATTTTGATACCATTTGTTGTTATTATGTTAGCTTGTGACTTGTTGCTTGTTGTTTATTGCTGCATTACCTTTGCTTGCTGCCTCGCTTCTGTGCATTTGGCTTGGACGTTGTGCTGCCTTGTCTTGTGTATTTATGTTGTTTGTATTTTTTTGCTGTTCTGGACTTTTCCTTGCTATTTTTTAGTAGCGCTGCTGGTTTTTTTGCTTTAGCAACAGGAAACATTCGCAATTTTTTCTTTTTTTCCTTTTTGTGAACCAAAGAGAACAACTCTTTGTGATTTGCAATTTGGGAGAAAATAAAACATGATGAAAAATATCTCCATCTTTAACTGATTCCAAATGCAAACCCTTATGATGAGATATCAATCAATTAATTCTTGTTTGAATTTTTTTTATGTGTTTGATCGCTAACTTTTCTTCTCCTTGTTTCATGAGCACGATTATTGGACGGTCCAAAGCGAGATTGAACGATGAAAATACCATGGCGAGGAGTGAAGATGAAGACTTGAAGAAACACAAATTATTTTTATCTTTTCTTTGTAAATAAAACAAATGTAATTTGTATTCCAATAATTGTAATTTATTTTTCATACGCTCTATAATCTGTCCAAAAAATGTAATGAACATGAAAGCTTGAATGATATATTTTTTGAATGAATTCTCTTGTATGGAAATCAAAAAACTCTCTATCTTTGATTGAAAATGGAAATTCCCACTTGAATGATTTGAATACACCCTTTGGACTTTGTAACTTAAACTTCAAGAAATTGTGAGCAATCGTTATAACTTGTATTCCAAACAATCACGCGCCTTATCTTTTAAAATCCAATTAAACTTTCAAACAAAAATAAATGCTTAAGAATTTAATTCCACTGGTTAATTCGAACCCAAAACACCGGTCGCTTGAACCTTGATCTTCATATCATGCCTAAACCACACTTGCACTTCTTGACCAGAACTTCAACTTTTGATATTCAGCCCACAATAACTTGTAACTTAAAGCAACAAAAACATGTCTTGATCATCACGAACCTTCAGCCTGATTTCTTGTGCCGAAACTCCACACTTGCTAATTTAAATTTCAAACTCTCGACTCAACGGCTTATAGGCTTTAAGAAGAAACTTGAAATGCGAGGAGGTGAAATTCTTGACCTAATGCCCTGAGCTTTGAGCCATGTTCGGGGCAGTCGAGAGAAACATCTTCCCAGAAACCAAAGACCCAAAACCCTAGCATCTTGACCAGCACACATAGGGAAATAAACCCTAATCCAGCTCTGATAAAATTGAGCGAGAACCAACCTTGTAACGTGATGACAAAATTCGTTCCATGATCCACTAATCGAGAACCAGATGTGTTTCCTTTCTACCTGATAAGAAAACCTCAAAACAAGATTAGACATAAAGAGGGCGTAGCCTCAAAACTTTAAACCAAAGCGCTCAATTCCATGAGATGCGGGATATGCAAATGACTGAATAATAAAAATGAGGCAAATGGAATGCAAAAGTTTAAAGCCGGACAAAAATAAAAGAGATAGGGCAAATTTGGGGTACGACACAAGACATGAATGAAAAGAAAATGCATTTGTTTTGATTTTGTTAAAGAAAGATTTTGGCCTAATTATCTAAAAGGAAATTTAATTAAATTAGAGAAAAAATTAAGATTGAGTTAAAGAAAAGAAAATAAATATAAAAATGTTTTTTTTGTCATTTTTATTGTAAGAAGTTAAATAAAATAAACTAAATAACTTAAACATGTTTTTGGTGTTTTTGTGTAGAAAATAGTTTTTTGTGTTTAAAATAGTTTTTGTGTAGAAAAACAGTTTTATGCTTGGGCCCAAGGTCTGTTTGTTTGTTAGTAAACAGGGGGTTAGAAACATAAAAAAGGATGAAGCCCAATTGTGGAGGCCCGAGTGTATTTCCTCCAAACAAAACAAAGTGAGAAAATATGGAAATTGAACAAAAGATCTCGCTGGGGCTTGAACCCAGGATCTTCTACATGGCAAGGCTTTAGCGCACACTGTTTGTACCACTGGGGTGGTCTGTTTCATTCGTTCATAAGATAACTTCGATTGGATACAAATAGAACTCGTTTCTGAATGTTTGAAATGCCCAGCTTCTTCTTCCTTCAAGCGCAGGGATGCATGACTCCATTCTTTAAGCTTCAAATGGCTTTGTTCCTCATCTAAACGAAAGATATAAAAACCTACCTAAGATCTTAAAATGAATCTAATCATATGACTTTTAAAAAGCTATGGATCGAAAGTTAGCATGAAACACCAAAACTAAGAATTAGCTGTTCAGAGATGAAATTTTTAATGTACAATCGATGATAATCAAAACTATGGGCATGGTCGGCTTCCTAGACATGATGCCTACATTTTTTTTCTTTACAATGTATATTCAAATGATGTTTGAATGAAGATTTCTAAGTTTTATAAAACTTACCTCTTGGAGTGAGACTTGAGGACTTCGACAGAACCTCCAGGAACAGTTTGATGATGAACTAAGCCTGCTTCGACCTCCCTGAAGCTATTTCAGTTGCTATGTTGTTTTGAAAGTCACTGAGTCGAAGGTTGGTTAGGAGTGAATCGAAGGGCTCACTAACTTCCTTGAGTGGGTTTTTTTTAGGGCTTTGGAAGTGTTTCAAGGCTGGTATATGGAAGTTAGGGGGTGAATCGAAAGGCTGATATATAGAGTGAATGGAAAGGTTGGCTAATGCATGAAGGGATTTGAGATTTTTGTGGGTAAGGTCAAGACGTTCCAAGTTTTATGCTTAGCTTTATGTTTGTATACAGGTTTTGGGTTGTTGAGAGCTTGAGAGTGTTTGAAGATTTTTCTCAATACAACCCAAGTCTCCTCTTTGATTTGCAAATGTTCTTTATATTTATAGAGAAAAGGTTAGAGATGTTTTACACAAGGGATCTCTCTGTTGTAGGGTTTTGAATAGGTGACTTGCTTTTTTGAATAAAAGTAGAAAATAAGTTTCAAGGTGTTGTACAAGCATCGTCTGAAGTTGTTGGGGGCCTTAGACCTGTTGCTTCTAGTTTATAGGGGATATGTGTGCATAAGGGACAAGCGCAAGGCTCTATAAAACTTTTCTAAAAGTGGCAATGATAACTTTATGACATTAAGGGAAAGTTGGCTTGAACATACTATACACACTTGGGTAAGATCTTAATTAATTGTGTAAACAATTAATTATGGATTGAGACACAAGTTTGAGGCCTAAAAAGTAAGTTCATGTAGCCTGACCTATGGAATCTGTTTTCAACTTGATTCCTTGAATCAAATACTCCATCCTTCCACAACTTTCAACTAGACTCATCAAAGCAATATTCATTTCCATTAATTGTGTGTCCTTCAAATGGGCTATCTTCATTTGAATATACCACTTTGAGCCCATTCGTTTTGATCAGGTAGGTCCAACTTTCGACTAAACTCAAGGGCAGACAAAACTAATTGTTTCCACTAATTGCATGTTTTTCGAATGGGCCAGCTTCAGCTGGATATACCATTTTGAGTCCTTTTGTTTTAATCACGTAGGTCCAACCTTTGAACAACCTCGACAACAGATAAAACTATTTGTTTCCAACCATTGCATGTTCTTCGAATGGGCCACCAAATGCAATTCATAATGTAGAAACTATGTGTGTTGAAGGGTTTAGAGGTGGAATCGAAGCCAGCATGAAGGAGGCCACTACTTTGTGAATCAAAGAAAACATGTAGGAGGCCACTACTTTATGAGTCGAAGCAAGCTTGTAGGAGGCCATTGCCTTCTGAATCGAAGCAAGCCTGCAGGAGGCCATTGCCTTCTGAATCGAAGCAAGCATGTAGGAGGCCACTGCTTTGTGAATTGAAGCAAGCATGTAGGAGGCCATTTCCTTCTGAATTGAAGTAAGCCTGTAGGAGGCCATTGCCTTCTGAATCGAAGCAAGCCTGCAGGAGGCCATTGCCTTCTGAATAGAAGCAAGCCTGCAGGAGGCCATTGCCTTCTGAGTCGAAGCAAACCAGTAGGAGGCTATTGCCTTATGAATCGAAGCAAACCAGTAGGAGGCCATTGCCTTCTGAATCAAAGTAAAGTTGTAGGAGGCCATTGTCCAATCGAAGCTTGCATGCAGGAGCCCACTGCTTTGTGAATTGAAGCAGGTTGCTTCGAAGGAAAACATTTCCCAATTGAAGCTTGTAAATCTAAGCAAGCTTGCTCTTCTTCGATTTGTCAAAATCTTCCCACCAATCCTTTCCATCAGTCATATAGCCTCAATCATATTTTGAATTCAACACAGTTACCTGCATCTGCACACCCTTTTTGTCTGCTTTGTACTTGTGCAAACTTGAGCTTTTGAAAATCTTTGTGAGAAATGCCTTGAGAAAAGAGAGGGCAAATTTTGGGGTACAACAACTGCCCTTGTTCAATCTTTTTAAACTTGAAAAGTGAGTATGGCACGTTGTCGTTCGTAGCTTGAAGGTAGAAGATGATTGAACACTAGAGTACCCAGAAATTTGCACTCGACTCTGTGTTAGTTGATTGTGTAGGATATGGACTTAAATATGCCATTTAGAGAGAGAGAGTTGTC